ATTTATTCTGAGTTTCCATAAATTCTACGAACTCGCGGTCCCTGTAGAGCAGTGGTTAGCGGGTTTGACATTTAATCCAAAGGTCCCGGGTTCGAATCCAGGCAGGGATGAGGGTGTTCCTAAGATATAGACCACGTATGGGTAAATTGTGTTTTTTTAGTATTTATGATTCTACATTGTGTTTGTTAGAGACAATCATCAAGGAAATCTCTTCACAAACGCTCAAGAGGTGCCTCTTCTCCGATTGTTGAAACTCTACTTACTCTGAGTTTTCCATAAATTCTACGAACTCGTAGTCCCTGTAGCACATTTTAGTTTGTCAGAGCCAATCATCAAGAAAATCTCTGCACGAACGCTCTGGAGGTGCCTTTCCTCCGATTGTTGTAACTCTACTTATTCTGAGTTTCCATAAATTCTACGAACTCGTAGTCCCTGTAGGGCAGTGGATAGCGCGTTGGACTTCTTATCCGAAGGTCCTGGCAGGGATGAGGGTGTTCCTTACATATAGACCATGTATTGGTAGATTGTTTTTTTTTATTATTTGAGAATCTACATTGAGTTTGTCTGATACAATCATCAAGGAAATCTCTTCATATACGCTCTGAAGGTGCCTTTTCTCCGATTGTTGTAACTCTATTTATTTACAGTTTCCATGAATTCGACAAACTCGTAGTCCCTGTAGCGAAATGGATGGTGCGTTGATCTTGTAATCCAAAGGTCCCGGGTTTGGAGCGCTGAAAATTAATTTTTTTTGATACATCTACATATATTTGAAATTTTTTCTTGTATTCCAAAACATAGTTATAAACGTAACTTCATCGGATTTGAATTTTCCTGATAATTAAACGGAGTTTTTGAGTAGTGTAAGCGGCGAAGTTTAATAGCATATACACATGTAGGAGTCCTGAGTCTTCTGGTCGATTGCACAGTTCAAACAGTGGGATACATCATGCGAAACCTAGTCTCGTCAGGTGTGCAGCGGCACACCTGACGAGATTACGCTTAGAATATCGAATGTGTTGATCTTTTAACACTTCACAGACTTTTAAGCCAAACCTGAACCAATTTTATTGTTCGTATACAAAAGCCATTTTTCACGCTTTTTATTGCTTTAGAAAAAAGCATCAAATCTTTTAAGTAGTAAAACACCACTCATGAAAATGAATATAAGTAGCATGTGATCAAGAGTTTATTGCTTTTGTATTTTATGACGAACTCCCATGTGAGATGTCTGATATTTGTATATTTGCCATCAGAAATATTGGGAATCTAAACTTTCAATCATTTTTTACTTAAAATCCATAAATGAATAAATTAATGGACGTATTTTTCTATTCTTATTGTCGTGTCAGTACGCTTGTGAGTATTGAAGTATTGGTTTATCAAATATTCAACTTTTGATTCTTCTTGATTTGGTATTTCTGTTTCATCATTTACTCTTTAATATAAATTACGACACGATAATTTAAAAGAAAAATGTTTAAATTTTGGATTTAAGGTATCGTAAGGTGTCGAATTTCATTTTTTCAGACAACTGTCGGGCTAACAACTGCTCTGTTAATATTTGCACGTTACAATAATATATTGAATGACAACTCAAGATGACTGCATGGAGAATGCTGGGAGGTGTGTCATTACGCCCACTTAAATAGTTCTAAATATGACATTAGTGTATTTAAAGGTAGTTGGTGTATTCGAACAGATATTAGTTTGCAAAATGAATAAATCATATTCCGTTCAATCAAATTCATTATTGTAAACGAAAATTAAATTTCATGTGTCCCTTCTGTAACAACAACAACCGTAGAAATACTACGACATTCACTCATAGCTTTCTACATGCTCTCAACATGAGTTGCCCATTTGTCTATGACTATAGTGTGAGGTTAATTGACCATTGATTATATTTAGATTTTTTAAATTTTTAATGATTAGAAACCAATTACCATTTTATGAATTTCGGACTCACTCCCGAACACTGGACTTTGGTGTGCATAGTTTCCTGACCAACTATAATCCGTTACACAACAGACTACCTCTAATAAAATAAATCAATTAAGCCTTTGAGGCGACCAAACGAACAAATGACCATTTTATGGATTTTGGACTCACTCCTGATCACTGGACTTTGTTGCAGAACTGTATCCATTTAATCAGCATTACTTTCTCATACAGCGTAAATTGACTGTGACATTGTGGCTCATATTTATTCTTTGAGTTGCTTTCAATCTTCCTATGGTTCAGATTAGAAAATTCATATTTATTTGTCGAACTGCAGCGCATAAATTCATAAATAATGACAGAAAGTTTTCAGATATATTTTTATACCGCTAATTTTCTATTTTACGGTTTTCCTCGCTCTTTTTCCATTCGTCAAAAAAAAAAAAGGAATTCAACCTCGAGATTTTAGTGAATCTCCACGACTCCGAAAAAACTAATTTCGGAATTATATTTGTCTGTTTTCACAACTGAAAAAAGCAATGACCTAGAAAGATTAAATTTGGTGCGTGATCTTTGCATAAAAATTATAAATAAGTATCAAATTTTGGACGAAATCCGTTTATGGGAAATCTGTCTATCCGTCTATCTTCGCATGCATGAACACGATAACAAAAAAATCCAACAATCTAGATTAATAAAATTTAGCATATAATTTTATCACCAGATCTGTAGAAATGTATCAAATTTTGGACCAAATCTGCCAGCGGATTGACTGTCTGTCGGCTATCTATGGGATGGTGTAATTGATAACTGTAAAACTAAATGAAATTTGGTATATGATATTGACATCTAAATTGAACAACTATACCAAATTTAGGATTCGATCTGCAGAAGGGAAGAGGTCCAAATATATATTCGATTCACTTCACTGTTCTACGAAGCTGCACACAAAACGTGTCATATTGTGTACGTTTGCGGGAAAGTCTAAGGAGGAGCATTGCCGCTGTTTTTCTTGTTTTCTCTACTATCTTTAAAATCTCTACTAATAATAAAGGGAATATGTGTGTATCTGTGTGTGCTGACGCTCAACAAAGCAGACCGCTGGCTTAGAGCTAACAAATTTGGCACAAACATACTTTGGAGTGTGGGAACTTAGAGCCATTTTTTTTGAAATTTTTATTAGAATTTTAATTAATTACCAATGAAACGAAATTTTGGCGTATATTTATGATTTCCGGAAATATCCAATATACAAAATAATTTTTAAATATTATATATATATATATATATATATATATATATATATATATAATATTATAATTACATATATTATATAATATAATATATATTATATAATATTATAAATATTATATAAAAAATATGGAAATATACAAAAATGATTTTTGAACCATCTAAAAATTCAAAAAAATGCTTTTTCAATGATATTAATTAAGTTGTCAAATGACATTATTTTTCTCTAATTTTAATAATTTTTAAAAAACTATTTGTAGGCATAATTTACAACTATATTTTTCAACGTTGCAATGAGACTCAAACGATTTTCATTGTTTAAATAAATATTTAATTGTGCGTTTACCTTCCATAGTTGAAAACTAAGGTGAATATCCTAATGAATTTTACTTTCATTATTTCAAAAAGATTTCTTTGAAATCTGTAAACTAAGTCCTCTAAGTTGTTAAATATATTAGAAAATTCCAGTAATTTGGAAGATCATGGTTGCTATGTTTTCATTTTTTTTAAAATCAACATGTTTCAATACATGTAACACGCCGCTGGCCGTAAAATGTGCCGAGCCATTTTAATGGTGAAATCAAATGCATAATTTTGCATGAAAAATAAGAAAGTGAAGATATGATGGATGATACGGACCGTTACATGACTCTATTAGGACGTTCATGTACTTAATGAACAGAACAAGTGCAAGGCTGCTGAAAGAACACACATTAAATTTCTATCACAATTTGAAATTTAGAATTACTTTGTTAAGGGAACCAGAATATTGAATTGTGCATATGAGGCTTAATTGAAATTATATTCCGAACACGGTGTCGCCGAAGGCTGCTAATTAGTAATAAATAAATATAAGAAGTTGAAGAAGACTTGAGATCACAGTAGGTTTTTTTTTTGTTGTTGTTGTTGTTACATCCCGTTTTGAAGCAACACGAAGGCTATTTTCGGTAGAATCTCGTAATTTTGAAGTGGTTAGATGACGAGCACAACACCTTATATGATATACCCTCTGTAAATTTCTCCACACCAGAGGGAATGCATTTGACCCCAATGAATTTAGCGTGCATTATGCCTGCTTTCACAAAGGTCCTTCGTTGAAATCGGGTTACGA